TAAGTGTCCCATGGTAAGGGTAATGATGTCACATAGCAATTCCTGGCTTCCTCTCCCTAGCAGCTAGCCTCCTTGCAGTTTTTCCAGCCCAGAAACACAACTTGCTTTACAGCCAGGTGCAAACACTTCACAGTTTAACCAAATGTCTGTGAAACGTTTTGAGGCGCCTCATCTCATTTGATCCTCACAGAAGTCCTGGAGTAGGTAGCTGGGAGACTCGGTGGAGTCCTGTTTTCTTTTCATTAGCCAGAAAGTGGAGATTTAGAAAGCTTAGAAACTTGACCTGACTGAAAAGAAATAAGAAATGGTGGACCTTGAAAATGACCTCAGGTTTTCTCACTGCAGGATCTCTCCACATCATTCCTCTGCAGAATATAGTCAAACGCTGCTGCAGTTAAATATTTTACCCTTTGTTCTCCCTGCAGGACTACAATCACAATCTGCTTTGTGTTGATATTTCCTGCTGTGACCCTGAAAGAGGAGTTGGGTGCTTCACTGGGCTGGACAAGTTTAGCTAAATCAGAAAGCAGGTCTGATAGGCAAGTTTATTCTCTATCTATAATAGGCTAAGTTGACTTGCAGATGCACGATAGATATAAAGCTCTTGCTGGCACCAATAACACACGTGTGTGTGTGTGTGTGTGTGTGTGTGTGTGTATCCATCTGTCATTGTCAACCGTGAATTTGATTGGCACTTCTATTATAGAGAAATGGTGAGTAGCAATATTAAAATATTTCGCCCTAACTGGTTTGGCTCAGTGGATAGAGTATTGGTCTGGGGACTCAGGGTCCCAGGTTTGATTCTGGTCAAGAACATGGACCTTGGTTGCAGGCACATACGCAGTAGGGAGTGTGTAGGAGGAAGCTGATCAATGTTTCTAACTATCCCTCTCCCTTCCTCTCTGTAAAAAATCAATAAAATATATATTTTAATTAAAATATTTCTTCTAATTAATTTCCTTTCTATGTGCATGAATTCGTGCACTGGGCTACTAGTTATTAATAATGAACTACAATGTTCACTAATGACTGATCACTATAATTGTGTTGCATTCATTTCCCTTATACGCCTTATACGCAGCTGCACCATTCCTCTCCACTAATACTAGCATCGACTATTTTAGCAGCCAATTGCCAATCATTAGTTTTGTACTGACTTGTTTGATGTGCACAACAGGAAATGTTTTACTTTCGGAGAACATGAAAAATAGGCTTATTTGCATTATGCTTATTAACTTGTGCAGTTATTCAGCGTCTGGTAAGTTTAATGTTTAAGAAAAATATTATTAAAATGTTCTATGATTTTATGCTCACAATGACCCATTTATTTCAGTTCTTTGTATTCAGCATCTCTATGGAAATAAACCTACGTATCTATGAAAACTGAAGCTTTTGTTTCTTTGCAGCCACATAAACTTAAACCTTGTTTATTTGGCCTGTGTTAGCCTTGGAGTTTGACATGCTTGCCCTAGAGTGCAGAGGCAGATGGGCAATGGCGCCTTCTGTGACCTTCCTCGCTGAGGCCTGGAGGCCTCTGTGTGTGGCTGTGGCCTCCCCACAACCACATGTTACAAACAACATGCCTCCGGTACCTGGCATGAGAGCACGGAGCATCTTCCTCCACACCTGGAACTTGAAGTCATCTGAGATGACAGGCAGCTGGATGTCCAGACGGGCAGGTGGGGGGGACTCTGCCAGGATCTTCTGCAGCCTGAGGGTGGGAAGTGTCTGTGAGGGCACTTCCGGAGGAGGCAGGGGTGGGGAGGGAAAAAGCAGTGCCCAGAAGAGAGGACAGGGCTGTGGAGTCCCAGGACCTCTCCACATGATGCCTCTGCTGCCTTTCCCGTCTGGAGAGATGAAAAGTTCTGGCCCCGGCCGGTGGCTCAGTTGGAGCGTTGTCCCATTCACCAAAAGGTTTCAGGTTCGATCCCTAGTCAGGGCCAGTGCAGGAGGCAACCAACTGATGTTTCTTTCTCACGTCAATGTGTTTCTCTCCCCGACCCCACCCCTTCTCTCTCTGCAATCAGTAAACATATCCTTGGGTGGTAATTTTAAGATGAAAAGTTCAGGAGATGGATGGTGATGAGGTTGCGTAACAACATGAATGTACATAATGATACTGAAGGGAAAGTGCGCGCTAAAAATGGTTTGCCGCTGGGGTGGCTCAGTGGTTTGATTCCCCATCAGGCACATGCCCAGGTTGTGGGCTCGATCGCCAGTAGGGGGCGTGCAGAAGGCAGGCTATCCATGTCTCTCTCTCATCCATGATTCTATAGCTCTCTCCCTCCCTCTTCCCATCTCTAAAATCAATAAAAACATATATTTTTAAATGGTCAATTTTATTCTGTGTACATTTTACCACAAAATGTTTAGGTCTTTTGTTGGGATAAGGTCCAAGCCCCTCAGCGCTTCCGTTTGCCCGCCTGCCACACCAGCACACCTTCTCTCACTCTTGCCTTCTCTCAGGGCTCTTCCCCCAGCTCCTGACCTGCTAACTCCAGCCCGTTCCTCCAGCATCCAACTCTGACGGCCACCCGGCCTCCCCCTTCTCTCCCCAGCCACCCCCTTCTCTCCTTCCCGGCCATCCCCTCCTCTCCCTGGTCTCCCTCTTCTCTCCGGCCTCCCCCTCCTCTCTCCGGCCTCCCCCTCCTCTCTCCGGCCTCCCCCTCCTCTCCCCGCCTCCCCCTCCTCTCCCCCGCCTCCCCCTCCTCTCCCCCACCTCCCCCTCCTCTCCCCGCAGCACTGAGCACAGTGATGCCTACGTCCCCGCCCCCTGCCTGGGGGGTTCCTAGAAGGACCAGGTCATTTCTATGTTCAAAGCCGAGTGCAGGGAGAGTGCAGAGGGCTGAGTGGACATGGGGAGGAGGGTGAGCCAGCCGGTGCCCCTGAGACCAGGGCAGGCTGGGGAAGGGGCGGGGCCAGGGTGGTCTCACCTGCTGGTCACCAGGCAGAATTTCTGGAGAGAGAAGGAGAAAATGGCGGTGAGGCGGGCAGGAGAGTCTCTGGACACGACTGGGGATGGGGCGGATGGACCAGGAATGCTGAGTGCGGAGCCAGGAAACATCAGGAAAGTCCAAAGAAACCCACCCTAGCCCTTTATCTGTGTGAATCAGAAAAGGGTACCCCTTCCTCAAGAAACAGCACTCTGCGGTGGAAGACTGTCCCAAGCAGTAAACAAACTGTTACGTGAATGGTCCCCCTGCAGGCGTCTTCAAACTACGGCCCTCGGGCCACATGCGGCCCGCAGAGGAGTCTGATCCGGCCCGCCAGGTTTTTTGGGCAGTGAGCGCAGCCGAGGTGTTACAGTAGGAATTAGTAGTTCATATAGTCTGGCCCTCCAGCTCTCTGAGGGACCATGATCTGGCCCCCACTTTAAAAAGTTTGAGGACACCTGCTAGAGAGAGTGCCTGCAGCAGCCTCCCCGCCTGCCTGTGCAGCCCCGGCTGCTCCCGCCCCTCCGGGCCTCTGGGTCCTGCCCCTCCGGGCCTCGGGGTCCTGCCCCTCCGGACCTCAGGGTGCCCACCTCTCCGGGCCTCGGGGTGCCTGCCCCGCCTCGCGGCGAGCTCTCTGGGCCTGGGCCCGGCGAGGGGCAGAGGAGGGCGGTCCGGTGCTCACCATGAGGAACTCGGTCTGCGGCTTGTCGGCCACCTCCTCCAGCACCTTCTCCATCTGCCGCAGCTGCTCCAGGTACGAGTAGAGGCCCCCCAGCTCCTTCTGCAGGGCGGCCCCCGCCTCGGCCCCCACCCGCTCAGCCTCCTGGTCCAGGGAGCTCTCCAGCGCGTCCAGGAACAGCCGCATCTTGCCCAGCTGCTCCCCCACGGCCCCCCGGAACTGGCGCACGGTCTCCTGCGGGCAGACGGCAAAGGCGCTGGGCGGGGGGAGCCTGCCTGACCCCCGCCCCGGCCCTGCCTGACCCCCTGACCCCCGCCCCGGGCCCTGCTGACCCCGCCCCGGGCCCTGCCAGCAGAGTCGCACCTCCACCTCCACCAGCTGCTGCTCCAGCGCCGCAGCGCTCTTCTCCTTGCGCGCACACGCCTCCTGCAGCTGCAGCTGCTGCTGGGGGAGCTGGGTCTGGGGGGGGGGGGGGGTGACAGGGTGGTCCTGGGGCGCCTGAGAGCTGGTCTGCCCCCCAGGGAGTCGGGCGAGGAGAGCGCCTGGCTGAAGTAGGGGGCTGAGACCACGCAGAAGCCCCGGGACCCCAGTCCTGAGGCCGAGGCCAGGGAAGCTGCGCCCAGGGACCCCGGGCCACTGCGTGCCCCCAGACTGCAACCCCGCCAATAAAGAATGCATGAGAGACTGCCTGGCTGTGTGGACGCCTCCCCTCGGTGACTGGCCTCGCGGAGGGCCTGGGCGGGCTGGGGGAGGGGGGGGGAGGACCTTTCTGGGCACCCGAGGACCGCAGGCCTCGGGCGCCACACCCGTGCGTGGGCGCCGCGCGCTCAGGTCTGACAGCTCCAGCCGGCGGCGCACCCCGACCTGACCCGGTGGCAATGGCCTGTGCACCAGCCCGCGGGCCCGGCGCGCCCGGAGCGGCCAGGTCTGCGCCAGCCTGTCCGGCCGGCCGCCCTGAAGCCGCCTCACAGCCTCCCTCCGCCGCCCACCCCCAGCTCCTCGCCCCGGGGTCCCCGCCCTGCCCTCCCGCGCCCCCCTCCCAACACCCGACGGGCGCCCTGCCCCCTCCCACCGTCCTCCCCGGCCGCCGGCCGCCGGGCGCACCTGGAGGCGCGCGTGGGCCTCGGCGGCGGGCAGCAGGCGGTGGCCGCGGTGCGCGCCCAGCGAGGCGCACACGCCGCACACGAGCGCGCGGTCCTGCTCGCAGTAGACGCTGAGCGGGTCCAGGTGCTCCTCGCAGTGGCCCTGCGGCACCTGCGCCAGCCGCTCGACCAGGCGCGCCAGCTGCAGGTTGGTGCTGAGCGCCTGCGGCCGCGTGGGCGCCTGGCAGGTGGGGCAGGGCACCGTGCCGTCCGCCTCCCCGGCCGCGCGGGCCAGGCAGGCGCGGCAGAAGCTGTGGCCGCACTCCGCCGTCACCGGCGCGTCGAACAGCTGCAGGCACAGCGGGCAGGACAGCTCCTGGCGCAGCAGGCCCGGCGCGGCCGCCATGGCGCGCCTGGCACAGGAGAGGTCAGTCAGGGAGGTCAGCCCCGAAACAGCCCCATCAGGAGCTGTCTCACTCCCAGATCCCAAACACAAGCCCGGGTTCCAAACAGTCCTACCCACTGTCTTTCCCTGGCTCAGCCCCAGGTTCTCCAAAGCCCCATGCCGACCCTCCTGTCCTCCCGCCCCCAGGACCCCGGCCCTCCCCTCCCCACTATCTCCAGGCCCACAGGATCCGGGACTCACAGGGCTGATCAGAGATCACAGGCAAAAAGAGACTCCCGGGAGGCTCAGCCTGAGCGCCGGCCTCAGGGTGTTGTCCGAAGGTAGGTCAGAGGCAAGCGACCCGCCCGGAGCAGGGACGGGCACTGGCACGCACGGGGCAGCTAGCAGTGGGCACCACAGCTGATGGGCAGCGGTGACTGGCAGAGGGATCCTCCCTGCTGGGCTCTGGCCCCAGGACTATATTTAGCTGCTTCCTATCATTTCTGGAAACCATTCTAAAAGTGAAGGCTGAGTGGTCAGGGAACAAGCTGCACATGTCAAGGCCACCTGTCCTGGCCCATCCACTGTCGCCTCTGCTGAAGCCAGCGCTCAAAGCCAGCAGGACACCGGGCCTCTCTAAGAGAGAGAGAGAGAGAGAGAGAGAGAGAGAGAGAGAGAGAGAGAGAGAGAGAGAGAGAGAGAGAGAGAGAGAGAGGAGAGAGGAGAGAGGTCTGCCCTTCCTCCCGGCCTCCACTCCCACGCCTCAATCTGCAGCTTCCCCTTCCCAGTGCGGCCGGCCCAGCCTGTCACCCACTCACTGTTTCCCCAGCTAATGGCTCTCACACCCACAGTATGATCTACAGCCCCCGCCCCCGGAGGTTTTCTTCCTCCAGAGCTGAGGAAAAAGTCTTTTTTCTGTCTCGCCAGAGCTCAGTGCAAGCCCGGGGCCAAAGTTGGCCTCCCTAAATGCTTGAAAGTCAATAATGGACTGGCAGTGAATAAATGAACGAACCGAATCCAGAGCCCGCAGTCCAGAAGCCGAGCTGCCTGGAGCCCTGGTCCTCCCTTGTGCTGATGCTTGAGATCTCTGCTAAAGTTCACTGAGGTTAAGAACCCAAGTCCTGCCTGTGGCCTGCAAGGCTCTGCCCAACGAGACCCCACCTGTCTCTCACCGTCACCCCCTGCTCACTCCAGCCGGGCCTTTGCACTTGTCATCCCCTCTGTCTGGAAAACTCTTTCAAAGGAAGATCTTTGGCCAACGTCACTTTTTCCCTGAGGCTTTCCTAACTCCCTGATTTTAAATCTCACGTCTCCCTTCCCTGCTTTCCTTGTCTTCAAAACATTTTGCATTCATCCGTCTCCTCCTACCACCACACATGTGTTCACTGCTTGTCTCTAACTCAAAGGTAAGTGTGTGGCACACAGCAGGTGCTCAATAAATACTCAACAGAGAAATCAACACAGGAACGTCTGACCTCCCATCACTCCCTCTCAGCCTTTACAGGGTTTCTCTTTTTTCCTCGACCTCTCTGTCTCTCTCAGAGATTCTGTTCCTGTTTCAGTCACGTAACTTCCTCTTTGGACGCTCTCTTTGCCTCTCTCTTGGGATTTTAATATTCATGTTTATGTGTTTTAGGCTGAATTTGCACACAAGGTGTCCTAGGTCAGAGACAGACTTCTCATTGATTCCTCACGGTCGGCAGTCAACGTTTGTCCCCCTGTGCCCGGGATGACGTGATGAGAGCCAGGTCCATTAGCCTGTGAGAGTAGCCAGACACCCCACACGTAAGCAACAAAAACCATTTCTCCTGCCCTAGTTAGGGTGGCTCAGTGGATAGAGCGTCGGCCTGCAGACTGAAGGGTCCCAGGTTCAATTCCAGTCAAGGGCACATGCCCGGGTTGTGGGCTCGAATTCACATGTAGGTGTGAAGGAGGCAGCCAATCAACATTTCTCTCTCTCTCTAAAAATCCATTAAAAATATTTTTAAACATATTTTTATTGATTTCAGAGAGGAAGGGATATATAGTGAGAAAGGCAGAAACATCAATGATGAGAGACATCTCAATGAGTTGTCTCCTTCAGGGACTGCAACCAGGGCCAGGGATCAAGCCCGCAATCCAGGCACGTACCCTTGACCGGAACCGAACCTGGGACCCTTCAGTCCGCAGGCCAATGCTCTATCCACTGAGCCAAACCAGCTAGGGCCGTGGTCGGCAAACTCAGACTCACAAGCCACATGCAGCTCTTTGGCCCCTTGAGTGTGGCTCTTCTACAAAACACCACGGCCTGGGCCAGTCTATTTTGAAGAAGTGGCGTTAGAAGAAGTTTAACTTTAAAAATTTTGGCTCCCAAAAGAAATTTCAATCGTTGTACTGTTGATATTTGGCTCTGTTGACTAATGAGTTTGCTGACCATTGAGCTAGGGCAATAAAATATATATTTTTTAGAAGGGGAGGAGGCAACTGTCCCCCTCCTCTGCTTAAATGTCTAAACAAATGTCCTCGGAAGTCAGGAGAGCTCCTTGCACATCTTGGCGTTTATGACAAGTCTCCAGGCTCTGTCCTCGTCTCCAAGCTGTGGGCTCATTTCTTCCTGATGCTTGAGGATCTTGCATGTTGCACACTGGCCCGATTAGGAAGCTACTCAGGGCTCCCTGGCACTTGGGGCTTAGCCTAGGAACTTTGTTCAAGCTGTAATCACTTGGGCCCCTGAGGAAGAGATAAGAGTTTTATTATTTTTTTGGATCGGGCAATTAACTATACAAATGACTGCAGCCTGGATCTTCTGATATGTGTGCAGTCTCGGGAAGCTAAGGCTTTCTCCCAGAATCCAGAGAAGTTTTATTTCCCTACTGTACCTCTAAGTCTCTGATTTTCTCTCTGCCACTTTTGATGGCTCAGAGTCGGCCTGGGGTTGGTAAACAGGACGGGGGTAGAGGTTAGAGCGTACCTGGAGCTGGTCTCTGAAACCACAAGCCACTTCATTTTGGCTCAGAAAAGTCAGCATCCCGAAGGCAGACTTCACCTGGAGTTTTCATCACTGCCAGGCTGGGCTGAAGGGTTTAGGCTAGGGGTGTCGAACTCAATCAGAGAAGGGGCCAAAATCTAAAATCCAGCCTAAATCGAGGGCCGAATGGTTTACTGAAGAGTCATAAACTGTCATTGTGATGGAAACGCAGCGGAGTGCAGTGATGACAGCGCGGTGCGGGCCACATTGCAAGGCCTGGCGGGATGGATTTGGCCCGCGGGCCTTGTGTTTGACACATGTGGTTTAGGCAATGAGTGGGAACCCAGGACAGGGAAGATAGTCTGCTCATTCCCTTTCTGTGGATGAGCCAGGTCTGACCTCTGATCGTATGAAGGGACATGGATTGTCTACAACAGATTGGAGGACGAGAAGGGGCCAGAGATCATGTCGAGGGGAGGAGGGGAAAAAGGGAAGGAGGACAAGTGTCGCTGACCCTAAGACAGAGCTGGAGCCCAGAGCTCAGAGGCTGCAGGGGAGAGAGGGGTTGTTTTGTTTTAATATATTTTTATTGATTTTTTTACAGAGAGGAAGAGAGAGAGATAGAGAGTGAGAAACATCGATCAGCTGCCTCCTGCACACCCCCTACCAGGGATGTATCCACAACCAAGGTACATGCCTTTGACTGGAATCCATCCCCGGACCTTTCAGTTCGCAGGCCGGTGTTCTATCCCCTGAGCCAAACTGGTTTTGGCAAGACTGCAAGTTTTAGCTTGTCCTAGGGGAGAGCATCCCCAGAGCTGGAGTGGTGAGTGCCATGGGGGATGAGAGCCCCTTGATTTGGATACATGCAACGGGAGCCAGAGCCCCCATCAGGACCACCGCAGAAGCAGGTCCTGATGCTGACACCATGAGCTCAGGAGATCGCCTCCCTCTCTGGCTGCAGCATCTCCAGCTCCAATGGAAGGATAAGGAGGATGATAACACAGCCCTGCAGCCTTGTCACGGGGATTTAACTAGACAACGTGAGCAAACACCAGGGTGTTGTGCGGGCTGGCACCAAAGGGCTTAGGAAGTGCTAGGTTCAAACCTGACTCTACTCTTTCCTTGTTGTGAGACCTTGGGCAAGTTATTTAATGTGATTCACTTGCCCGTAAAATGAGGATCACCTAAGGTTTAGGACCAGAGCATTGGATTGTTATGAAGATTCAACAAGTTAATTCGTGTAAAGCACTTAGAACAATGCCAGACCCATAGAAAATGTTCACTGAATGTTGGCAGTGGATTTCATTACAATTATTATTACTAACTGTTCCAATGAACCGGCATCATCCCCAAATTGAGAAACTGAGGCTCAGAAACTTCAATAAGAACAAAGGCACCTACTATGTGTCAGGCCTGTTCCAAACACTTTGCAATTCTTGTTTTTTTTATTACTTCATAATTCTTAATCCAGTTATAACCTCTTAAATCCATTTGTAACCTTATAATAACCTCATAATTATTCCTCTCTGACTAGGAGGCCATGAGGCACAAAGAGATTAAGTGACTTGCCCAATTCCTGGCAGTGTTTGGGCCCTCTGGACCCAGGAGGCGCAATCTGGCTCCAGCAATCATAGGGTTATTTGTTGGGTAGAGGGTCACACCCAGAAACCAATTTACCACCAACTGCTCTGGCTCTCATCCAGGGGGCAAGGGTGGGCCACGAGGTAAGACTAGGAGGTTCTTTCCTGCCAGGGGTCAAAGCTCAGAGCTTTGAGACTTCCCCAGAAAGGGGCGTCAAGGCAGAAGAGATTACCAGGGATTCCCAGAAAGCTGCCCAAGGCACCCAGTCCCCACCTTCCCAGCGCAAACCACCCGGCAGTCTCCCGGAGTGAGCAGGCTCCTCCTCTACCTCCCTGGGGGCCCTGGGCAACGCACAGTCCTTTTCCTTCATGACACAGCGTGCGGACCGCAGAGCGGGGCTGTGGCCTCCCTGGGTCACACAGCTAAGCGGCAGAGGGCCTGGAATCAAATGTGAGTGGGTCTGACACCCCTGATCTCCTGCGTGTCCCACCATGCCACAGTCCTCTGAAGGTGCTTTGAAAGCCCTAGAGCAGTCTTCAAAGAGGAGGAAGTTGCTGTTAGCATTGCTGTTATTGCAATGCCTGCCCTCCTGAGGGTGTTTGTGGGCAGTCTGGAGGAGGCATAAGTTTCCTTATTCGTAACTCTCCAAGCAATTTGTCCGTTTTTGAGGACAGACATGGCACTGTAAAATGGTGGTTGGCTTCTGGGCCTCGGCGTCTGGTGGCCATGGTTCAACCAGTTTCCTCAGGTGTTACCAGTGTAGGCTTCCAGAGTAACTTCTGAAAACCTCGGTTTCTCCTCTGCGTCATGGGGCTGCTGGGAGAACCCAATGAGCTATGACTGTCGGGTGCTGAGCACAGTGCCTGGCACATAGTCCATTAAAAAATGAAAGCTGTCGTCACTATTGTCTTCACCAGCACTTACCATGGGGTTGGGTTCTAGTAGATCCTTGATACGTATTTTTAGAATAACAGAGACTCTTCCCAAACCCGGTGTCCTCCTGAGTTCGACGTGTACCATGTTCTCACGGAGAACGGGCCCCTGTCACGCAGTACCCCTTGTTCCCACTGAGGTCCAGCCTGGAGCCACTGCAGGGGCGAGGCGTCCAGTCCCAGGGGAGGAACGGCTGTGTGTCCCGGCCCCTGGGCCCTTCGCCTCCAGTGACATCACACCAGGGAGCTGGCACTTGCTCCGAGGCGATGTCAGGTGAAAGCCACTGCCAGTTCTCCTCTGTGTCTGAGCAGGAATGTGGCTGGGGCTGGAGCCAGGGTCACGCTGGGCCCAAAGAAGGCTCCTGGGCGGTGATAGGCGGGAGGAAGCCCTCAGCTCCTCACGCCCAGGAAGCCAGTGAGAAGCCCCTTCTCCTCCGAGTCGGGACACACACTCCCCCAGGTGCCATTTCCTCAGCCCCAAAGGTTCAGTTGAAACACGTGATACTGATTTTACTTAGAACCAAGGCCACCCCATCCAAACTAGGTTTGAAGTGATACAGTGGCGGCCATGTGGCCGGGACAGCTCCACTCTGAGAAGGGGTTGAATTGGACAAGTTCTTTCAACTCCATGGCTCAGACACACAGAGTGTCTAAGAGTCTGCCAAATGTGAAAAGAGCAGGTTCCTAGAGTTCCAGATTCTAGGATTCTTTTGTCACGGCATAGAGGCTCCTCCGGGCAGAGTCTGTGTCAAGCCCTGTGCTGGGAGCTGGGAGCTCAGCCTGGTGGGGAAAGCAGAGCAAACAGACTGGCTGTGAGAAACACTGCAGTAGAGGCACAGCAGGGCATCCTGTGGACATGGCCAAGCAGTAATTCATTCTGCACAGAGAGGACAGAGAGTCCAGACAGGGGACAGAGGGGCAGACAGCGGACAGAGGAGCAGACAGGGGACAGAGGGGCAGACAGCGGACAGAGGAGCAGACAGCGGACAGAGGAGCAGACAGGGGACAGAGGGGCAGACAGCGGACAGAGGAGCAGACAGCGGACAGAGGAGCAGACAGCGGACAGAGGAGCAGACAGGGACAGAGGAGCAGACAGCGGACAGAGGAGCAGACAGCGGACAGAGGAGCAGACAGCGGACAGAGGAGCAGACAGGGGACAGAGGAGCAGACAGCGGACAGAGGAGCAGACAGCGGACAGAGGAGCAGACAGCGGACAGAGGAGCAGACAGGGGACAGAGGAGCAGACAGCGGACAGAGGAGCAGACAGCGGACAGAGGAGCAGACAGGGGACAGAGGAGCAGACAGGGGACAGAGGAGCAGAC